ATTTCAAATAAATAATGTAAAATGATATAATTTTTATTTTTTAATATAATAATGTAAATACATAGAATAAAATAAAATTTAAGATCAAATATTATGAATAATTTTTCTCTATAATTTTTAATAATTTATATTATAAATAAAAACGATACTACAATTATAATCTATAATTTTTTTATTGTTGGTATTCAATTTAATATCTTTACTTTAAAATATAACATACTTCTATAATACATGAAAATTTATTTTTTCATTCACATCTTAAATCATTCTACATATTAAGTAGATAAGCAGTGTAAGTATTTATTAGAAAGCCTTATCAAATTCATTTAAATAGAAGCCTAATGGTATAATAAATGCATCAAAAATACAATGTTTTATGTACAGAATTTCTGAATAAGTGCTGTTTTATTTTTGTGATAGATTTCTTTTCTCCTGAGACAGAAGAAACATATCACTACCTTTCGGCATTGTAACAGAGAAGCGAGGTTTTAGGCGCACAGCGCCAGGTGGATCTTTTGGAAGAATTGGAATTCCATGGTATTTCAAACCACGTTGACCAGCTAAAGATATTCTTACAGCTGATTCCGGAACAGGATCCAACTGAATCTTGTTAATTACTTCTCTTGTAGCTAAATTGGCAAAATGCCAAAATATCATAAAATACTAAGTCAATTGATATGCAGAAATTAAACAAAATGGAAATTGTATTAATATTTCTATTGATTTTATAAATATGATAAAACAATTCAATTCAACAAAGAATTATTATTAGAAAAACTGCTTAAGGAGATGTAAATGAAAAATAATTCTTTTGTAATTTCAAAAAAGTATCAAAATAAATCATTTAAATTATATACATTTCAAATTATTTTAATTTTATTAATTTTATATGTTATCAAACATATAAAAATGTATAAAATAGGTCAAAATTTAATGAAACATATAAAATACTTACTTTGTGGAATAAATGCAGTTTTTTTTTGAGTAGTTAGATTACATGTAGATTTAATTTTATCAAGATCATTTTTCAACTAAAAAAATTTTAATAATTATATATATTTATAATTTATTTATTTAGATATAAAATTTCAAAATTATTTATAATTAATATTATACCTGTTCTATTTCCTCCTGTAGTTTTTTATTTTTTTCTCGTGTTGAATTTAATTCTATATTAAAATTATTTTTTTCCTGCCTTGTCTCCAAAGTGGCAGTTTTAGTAATATTTAACTTCAATAAATCTAAATCATTTTTGTATCTATTAACAGAATCTTCCAATTTATCGTTTTTTTCCTTTAAATCTGCTTGTTGTTCCAAACGTACATGAAGTGATGCTACTTCATCTTCTGCATGCTTATATCTTTGTTCTAAATTTCCACGTAATGTAACACATTGATCTCTTTCTTCAGCACTAAAACATAATATTGATATGAATATTAACATAGTATAACCACCATAATATATATATGTAATATATTAGATTTCTGTCAATTATTAAATCAGTTTTTAAGAATTTCAAACTTCAAGATGTAGAATTTATCACGAATTATATAGTGTGACTATATTTTTTATAAATAAGTAACTTTTAAAAATAATGACGGATGATGTGATAAAATATATAATAAACTAATTTATATAAATATAAAATTATCTTAATTATCTTATAATAATACCTAATTTTAAGTTGTTCATTCAACTCGTCAATCTGTCTAACTAATTCGATATTTTCAGAAGATAAAGTCCACCAGTTGCAAATGAGCATTAAACAAGCAACGAGAAGTCCTCCAACGAGGAGAGGAGGACATCGGCCTCCTCCGACTCTCATACTGTCAATTCCCATTCCTTATTTATTATATTTTATTTAACAAATATACATGTGCGTTGAAAATTTGCACGTGTATAAAAAATTAATCCTCACTATATATCAATCGTATTTTAGAGATGAAGAAATAGATAGCCTTATCAAGTGTCACAATTCATTACTTACAATTAATTCAAAGCAATTAAAATAATAGCACGTTTCGAACTTTTTATTTTGATAAGACTTTTTTTTTTAAATTTTCATAAAATTTTCATAAAAGCAAATACACTTAATGTGTTGTGGGCGTATCTAGTATACACTACCGGTATTGACAATGGTATGTATGCATTTTATCACAAAAAATATTAAATCAAATTATATTTTAATCTGTCGTGATTTTTAACACATATCGAACAACTTCGTTTATTTGTTGGCAATCATAACATGACATCAATGTTAAAACGATTTAAAATCAATTCGGTATATATTCATTATACTGAAATAAATGGTAACTGAACAACTGGTGACGGCTAACTATGCAATCACAAATATATATCATATGCATACATATATATATATATATATATGTAAGCGCTCGTATTTTTCATACGTAGGACATATTTATTAATAATAGAAATTCTTATCTAAATACACATGTATATATAATGATAATAAATGAAATCGAATTCGATTTTTATAGTTTATATCTATATACTTCTATTACAAACTTATATATACATACATTTTTTTATATTTAATATATTTTATATATTTTTATATTTTTATTTTAAATAAAATTAAAATTA